GCACTGCTGACATCTCCGTTCCCACCTGCAGGAAGCACTGACTCAGCCCTGCCTCCCCAGGCCACATCGGGCGTGGGCACACAACCCACCCCGGGGCCACAGCGGGTGCGGGCGTGGGCACACAACCCACCCCGGGCCACAGCGGGCGTGGGCGTGGGCACACAACCCACCCCGGGCCACAGCGGGCGCGGGCGTGGGCACACAACCCACCCCGGGCCACAGCGGGTGCGGGCGTGGGCACACAACCCACCCCGGGGCCACAGCGGGTGCGGGCGTGGGCACACAACCCACACCACAGCGGGTGCGGGCGTGGGCACACAACCCACCCCGGGGCCACAGCGGGCGTGGGCATACAACCCACCCCGGGGCCACAGCGGGTGCGGGCGTGGGCACACAACCCACCTCACAGCGGGTGCGGGCGTGGGCACACAACCCACCCCGGGGCCACAGCGGGCATGGGCACACAACCTACCCCGGGGCCACAGCGGGCATGGGCACACAACCCACCCCGGGGCCACAGCGGGCGTGGCCACACAACCCACCCCGGGGCCACAGCGGGCGTGGCCACACAACCCACCCCGGGGCCACAGCGGGTGTGGGCGTGGGCACACAACCCACCCAGGGGCCACAGCGGGTGTGGGTGTGGGCGGGCCGCTCACCTCCAGACCACAGCGGGTGTGGGTGGCCCGCTCACCCCGGGGCCACAGCGGGTGTGGGTGGCCCGCTCACCCTGGGGCCACAGCGGTGTGAGCACATCCAGGGCAGACGGCTCAGCCGGTGCCTCCACTGGCTGTGTGGTAAAGGTTGCAGCTGCACACACATGCACACATGTACACACACATGTACGCACACATGCACACACATGAGCCAGTGTGAGACCTAGGCTGCTAGGGGACGGGGACACGGGCACCTCTGGGCAGGCGGCTGTCCAGGCCAGTGGCCCTGGGCGGCGCCAGTTCTCGGGCAGAGCTGGGGCGTGGATGGGGTGGCAGAGGCCGGGGTGGCATTGGTCAGCGGGGGCGCCGACCCTCCCAGCTCACGTCATTTTGACATGGGACCTTGCTGTGCAGCCCAGGCTGGCCTGGAGCTTAAAGCCCTGCCGCCTGCGCCTCTCCGGGCTGGGCTCACAGGCACGCGGCCCCGCGCTGCCGTGCTCTCAGGCTCATCCCCATGGGCAGGGGGCGCCCTCCCCAGCCCCTTGGCTCTGAGGAGAAGCCTGCGCTCCGCCGTGGGGCTCAGACCCAGAGGACATAACTCGGGCCAGGACCGGAGCCTGCCCCAGTGGCGGGCTCTGAGCTGCCAGCTGCCAGCCCCAGGGCGGCCGCAGCCCGCAGCCCGCCTCTCGCAGCGGGAGCCCCGCGGCCGGGCCAGGGCCGCTGCCCACCGGGGCCGGCAGGCACACGGGTGGCTGTGTGGACGGCAGCACAGAGCCACGCCTGCATCACCCTCGGCCTCTCCATGAGCCTCCCCGGGCGAGGGGCCCTGCACCCCATCTTTCCAGCCGCATTAAAGACACCACTGCACCTGTAGCCAGCTTGGAGTCTGGAGACATGCAGAGCAGCCGCGGGCATGGCCCTGTGGGGCTGAGTGCCCAGACCGGGCTGGCATGGGTGTGTGCTCCGGAGCTGCTGGCGCCCCCACCCCCAGCAGCAGCGGCCGCGCAGCACGGAGCACCCTCTGGTGGCCAGCACATAAATATGCTGCTGCCAGGGCGAGACGGGCCCCCACAGGGGTCCCTTCACCTTGGCCCCCCAACACCCTTGTCCTTACTAGGCCGCTGGGGGCCACGGACGGCGGCTCTGACTCTCCGGAGGCTCTCTGAGCAGGCTGGGCGCCCTGGCTGTGTGTACACCTACCAGGGGTGTTGGAGGGCGCCGTGAGTGGGGTGGGCGTGGGCAGCGGGGCTCGGCGCCTGTCCTCGGGGGTCCTGTCCTTGTCTTTGTGTTTCTTGGCCTTCTTCTTGGCCTTGCTGTGGGGGCCCCCATGGGGCCGGCCGGGCTGGGCCAAGTCCGTCAGCAGGGACAGCCCGGGATGCGGGCCGGGGGCCGGGGCCGCCTGCGGCCGCCTGCACTCCTGACCACTGTGGCCCAGGTCGTTGCTCAGGTCGGCCAGGGGGTCGTGGGCCCGCGGGGGCGGGGGCACGCCAGTGGCCGGGCCTTCGGTGGGGGCAGGCGGCAGAGCCTCACGACCATTGGACGCCCCCGGCCTCCCGTTGAGGGTGGGCTGTGCTCTCTGCGCCAAGTGCGAGATCCTGGGCTTCTTGCTGACGAGGGGATCGATGAAGTCCGGGGGCTGTGGCCGCTTCTGCGGGGGACAGACACACCCTTAGAGGCCGGGAACCCCGCGCACGCGCCTGTGCATCCAGGCCTGCCTGATGCAGCCTGGACGTGGCACGCGTGGCACCCTGCCCCTCCCCTGCCTGTGCCTGTAACTCCGGGCACGTGGAGCAGCACCAGGCAGTCTGAGTGAGGCTCCGCGGTGGCCCGTCCCTGGCTAGCCTGCCTCCCCCCGCCCCCCGCTCCCTGCGGGGTACCTGTGGGGGTGAGGCGCTGCTCGGGTCTCGGGGTGGGCTGGAGGCAGGGGCCTCCCCAGGCGTGCTGCCCGTGGTCTGAGGCTGGCACAATTTCCTAGCAGAAGAGACAGGGTCAGAGGCGCCCCAAGGTCTGCGTGGAGCGAGGCGCGCGTGGGGCGGGGGGAGAGCAGGTAGGCGGGGGGTCCCAGGGCGCAGCAGGACCAGGAAGGTCATCTCCTTCTGACAGCTATACCAGACCAGAAAGTGCGGCGCTGGCACGCCCAAGCAAGAATACAAGGCCCGAGGTGAAGCCCCAGAGTGAACACCAAACAACACCAAACATGCCACAGACAGCAGCTCTGGTCCTGCAGAATCACTTCTGGATCGATAGGAGCCTCAGGCCTCATTCACCCACTAGGGGGCGAGGTTGAGGGTGTGTGCTTGTTTTCAGGCCTCCCCTCCCCCCCCCCCCCCCCACCCCCCCCCCCCCCCGCAGAGCCCAGGGGTGGGGGCAGGGACCCGGTGGGCCAGGGCATTACCGGACGAGCACCCGCTTCAGCAGCTGCTGGTCCCCCTCCGAGTAGCCGGGCCAGTCCTTCTGCACGTCCTTGTACACGCAGTCCCTCAGCGTGCACGTGCCGTCCCTGGCGCTCACATTGGCCACCTGCAAGGCAGGGCCGAGTCACGGGACAGCACCCAGACGCCAGGCCACGCGAGCGCTGTCATGTGCTCCCGTGGCCTGCGTGTGTCCGTGTGCACAGGCGGAGCAGGGACTGTGCGCATGCGTGTCAGGGAGCCGAATGGGGCCCGGCGGTAGCCTTTTTGGTCCTAGGGTCTAGTCAGTGAACAGCCACCAACGTCCCCAACCCCCAGGGGCACGGTGGGGGGGACCGAACTCCCACAGGAGTGCAGGGCGGACTGCATTCCCAAGCAGCAGTGCCTGTGGGCACAGGGTGCCGGCGGCTGGCGGGCACCGCCCCGGCTGCCAACTCTGTGCCCGTCCCTGCCAGCCGAGGCCCCGGGTCCGTCTCCACGCAGACCCTGTAACCTCCAAGACCATTCCAAACCACATTAGGAAGCAGCATCTGTGGAGGTCTTTGGGGTTTTGGCAGCCCCTCTGCCCAGGACAGCCTTGGGAGGGTGGTGGGGAGGGCGGGAGCTGCCCCACGGCAGACCTGAGGGTGCCCAGGTCCCGCCCGCCTGGCGCGCACCTGCTGCAGCAGGCCGTCTAGTGCCTCCTTGTCCGCCAGCGCCAGTCCGTCCTTCTGCAGCCGCAGCAGCAGCTCGGCCTTGCGGTAGGGCCTCAGGGCCAGCAGGTGCACCACGCGGTCCCGGAAGGGCCTCTGGGCCACGCTGCCGGCCCCGCCCCTGCGGAGGGCGCTGGCCAGGTTGATGGGAGTGGCCCGTTTCCTGGAGGGCACGTTGTCTGTCGCCCCTGGGGCTGGCTTCCGAAACTGGACTTTCTTGCCTACAAGGAGACCTGGGCGTCAGGGGGGGCCAGTGTGGCGCCTGGCACATACCGGGTGCACAAGCAGCCCGCACACGGCCGGCTCGCAGGGGCAGCTCACGCGAGTGAACTTCGAAACTGCCCGGAGTGCGGGGAGCCTGCGAAGCCGGCTGTGGACGTGCTGGGACCCCAGGCTGCGGCTCAGGCACAGCGCGGTGCGGCAGGCGCTACTCTGGGAAGGGGAGCTTGGCCACCGCAGGTGCTGGCTTGTGTGGCGGCGTGGGATTCGGCGCACCTGCCAAGGCCGACACTCACCAGCCAGGACGCGAGGCCAGCCTGCACAGGGCCACAGGCACAGTCCCGGGCCCCGCCTCGACAGGCCCGGGCCGGGCCCGACGGGAGGAGGCTCACCAGGTCCCACCGCCAGCACCCCGCCCGCTCACCCAGGTAGCGGCCTCCAGCCTTGATGACGATGGCGGCCCGACTGCGTGTCTCCTCCTCCGCCTGGGCCAGGCTCTGCCGCGCCTTCTGGTAGGAGTCGTCGGTGGCGCACACTGTGACCTTGTCCTGGATGCTGCCCAGGCAGTCCAGGTGGACGTCGCCATGGCTGTGGGAGCGGGGGAGTTAGGCGGGGAGGGGAGATGGCGGGGAGGGGAGGGGTGGCGTGGAAGGGGAGGGTGCCAGGAGGGGGGGCAGCGGCCGGCTCACCTGGAGACGTACTGCTGGATGCAGTCAAAGCTGCCCTGAGGGCTGTCGCGGCCGATGTTGGAGAGGTAGAAGGAGAAGGTGCGCAGCTCCTCGGGGCAGTCGGGCTGGGGCACACAGATGTGCTGGAGAAGAGGGGTCCCATGCCTCAATAACGGGCACAGCGGTGTCTCCCCCCCTCCCCGGTACCCCGAGGCTGGGCCAGGGTCTCGCTCGGTAGCGCAGGCTCAGCGTCACCTGACCCGGGGCCCCCTTGGATGGCCGTGGACAGCTGACAGGAAGGCAAGCTGCACAGCGCAGCCCCCGGGGGCTGGGAAGAGCTCCCCAGCTGCCAGGCCTCTCTCCACGTGGGCAGCTGCTCCTCTAAGAACCAGCAGGTCCTCAGTGCCCACACTGGCCAGCACAGGGCCGTCGGCCACTGCCTGGCACAGGGGAACCGCGCTCTGCCGTAGGGGAAGTTGCCACCTGCCCTTCTGTGTCCCTCTGGGTAGGACAGCAGTGGGTGACGTGGACTGAAAGGCTCCGGAGAGTGGAGTGTGGTGGGGACATGGGGCAGCCTGAGTACTGGCCAGGACAATGCCAACAACCAAGATGTGCCCCGAGCTGCACCCCCCTCCCCTCGGGCCCCAGGAGTCAGGCGCCGGCAGGGCTCTGCGGCCCACGCTCCGGCACTCAAGGCTCCCTGTGTCCAGTCTCACCCGCTGCGGGCAAGGCCACCAGCGGCTCCCCCCCCCCCCCGCTGGGACTTGTGGCCCTTCCTGGAAAGGAGCGAGGGTCAGGAAAAGCCCTGGATAATCTGCTCAGCTCAGCTTGTCACAGGAGGAGCACGGCGCTCCCACGCACCTGACAGGAAGACATGCAAAGGACGATCGGGGCTAAAGTGTCCACCAGCCCTGCTCTCAGCTAGCCCTGCCTCTGTGTGGACCCTAACAGAAAACACCTGAAGGGGGCTGGGTAGGTGGCTCAGGGGTAGAGTACTCGCCTCGCATGCATGAGGCCCTGGGTTCGATTCCTCAGCACCACAGAAGCAGAAAAAGCCGGAAGTGGTGCTGTGGCTCAAGTGGTAGAGCACTAGCCTTGAGCTGAAGAGCTGAGGGACAGCGCCCAGGCCCAGAGTTCAGGCCCCATGA